GTTTTTCTCTCCAAAAACCCGTTTGTTCGACTTAAATAGCCAGCCTGCCGACACTTGCGTCGATCGACGCAAAGCACCTACGTCGATCGGCGCACCTGCCGACACTTGCGTCGATCGACGCAAGGAACCTGCGTCGATCGGCGCAACTCCCGAACCCGACTTCTCACAAGTCCAAACACGTGCATCGATCGATGCACAACTCCTGCGTCGATCGACGCAACACCAAAATCCACTTTTTGGTTCACAAGCGTTACAGTAGAGACTCCCCATGAACATGGGTTGAAGAACGAGTGAAAAGAGAAGAAGTTGAATGTGAAAGAGAAAAATGCCGGAGTTGAATGTTTAATGCTATTTGCTTTGTTCCACTCTTGTTTAATGCTATTTGCTGTGTTCCACTCGTAAAATCCTACCGATGCTACTCGCTATGATCTACTACTATTTTTATGTTGAGACTTTTGAAATCATTGTATTTTTCCAGACTTTTCTCTGATTATCAATCTTATATTTTCTAGATGCCAAAAAAGAATGTCTCAATAATTGTGCTGTCGAACAGCTCGTAGCAAAAAACTTGCGAGTAGGATCTGGATTTGTCTGCAATTGTTTTACTATGCTGCTACAGCTGACTATCGACTGAGTTGTATTGATGGAAAGTCCTGCAGTAGATGATGATGGAGATTGTTTCTCTCCCCTGTTGCTGAATGCGACCTCCATAAACGTTGAAGTCTACTATAACAAAGCTGTGTATACATTGATGGTCACTTTTGTATCATTTCCATTCCATCATAGAAGGACGAACACAATCACAATCACAATGTTTGAGAGGGTTCCTTAACTTATTATTGTTCTTAGGTCTCGTTCCGTAAGAATCTCATGTTTGTTGAATCTGGTATTTTCTAATGAAGAGAATGATGCTAACCTTGGAATAACTCTCTTCTTGTATAACAAGGGTGCTGCAAAGGTATCTATTGTAATGATCGGGCAGCAAGCCATCATGGATTCTTATTTATGCCTTTTACATGGATATTTGTTGCTTCTCTCAGTTGAAATGTGCTTTTGGAAAACAGATGGAACCCTTCTTGGAGGCATATTGATGATAATGTAACACACAATCGGTACATTCTTTCAACAAAAATCAATACAGATAAAAATAATTATTTTGCCTTTCACAATTTTTTCAAAGTTTACTTCTGAAACAACTGTTTATAACAGTATCACACACCAAGAGGTTATTCCTGCGTACACACCTTTTGACACCAGAACCTGAGCCACTTTGATTACTAGTTTGCACACTCGGAGATAGCCTAGTGATCAAGTAGTTTGATAGTATCTGACTTTCTCTTTGATTACAGAGTGAAAATAATTAGGAAGAGCATAAAGAGATGTGTTGTTTGGCGAGTAACTCGTTAAGCTTGTTCATGAGCTTAGGATCAGAGCATTCCATAGACTTTCTCAGATTCCTCAGTGTCTCCGTGTCATCTTCACACGTCTCTCTGTTGAGCAGCTTCGTGAACAGTTCCTTCCACAGTTCCACGTTCCAATATCTGCAATGTTAGGTCAAGCAAACAACTCAGTGAATCTTTATTTCATCACAATAATGTTTCTGATTTGAGAGACAATACCAGAACAAACGATGCAAGCTTCGCTGATTTTTGAGACATAAGCGCACCTTTCCAAGGAATTTCTCGCCAAATTAATGTGGCTACCGTCAAGTGATTGTTTTTTTCCGATCTCCATGTAGCTGTTGTGCAGCATCGTGTGTGCGATTACACAAAGTCCACAAGTGTCCACCTGTATATATAACACACGTTCCAATGGCCTCAAATTGTCTAGAGTCTAATCATGCAAAGACCGAGTCTTTCTGTAACAATGGTAATTAACAAGGGTTACCTGAAACTTCCAAGGTTTGTTCTCCTTCAATTCCACGCAGCGGAAGCCTGAGGTACGACAATCTCCAGTGAACTCGGTGGTGCTAGGAAACAGGCTCAAGTCTTTTGTGAAATTCCCAAGGTGGCTTTTGTACCTGTGAAGAGTTTAGTGATGTGAGGTACCTGAAAACAGTGCCATTTGAAAAAACTTTTAAGGGCCAACCTTTAGAGCAACCACTTCATTGTCAATGTATGCTTTGAACACTTGAGCAAAACCACGTGGACCAGCACAACCCTTGATCGGGTACTTCCTTCCACTTGCAAATACACAGAGACCAATATATCTTGGTCAATTTGTCTCAGAAGAAAACAAAGCGGAAGTTCATTTTTTTGACATGAATAAAATAGGTCATACATGCTCTTCCACATTCTAATTAGAACAATGTAGATTTGGATTGGTATGAAAAAAAGGTTTACCTATATCAATGATCTTATTTCTGGAAGAATTCAGCAAAGTTGAAAGGTTGGGGAAACTCTGTTGCTTGCATTGCACGGTATCCCTGATGCAGACATAAAGAAACTCAGTGGAAAACGGTTGAATAATGCAAAATATCATGATGGTCATTTGCCTTACATCATATTTCACAAGCTGGGGTTTTATCTTGGCAATCAAGTCTTTCACATCATCACCATCAATCTGCCATAGAATGTGAGGAAGATTCCATTCAGTCCTCAACTAAAGCTATCAAAGTGCATTAGAAAAACCGAGTAGAATGTTTAACAGTATTAGAAAACAAACCTTTGAGATCCTTTGCAAGAACAATGATCCCACA